TATATATATATATATCTATGTTGTTTCAGGAAAGTCCTAGACCATTCCAATGAGGAACTTAAATCCGTGAATCCATTTTTGTGAAATTTTTCAAATGTAATCAAATTTTCAAGTTTAAAGTTAAGTTGCTTAAGGTGCATTATAGTAGGACTAATTATTTATCAAATTTCATAACATATATAACACAAGAGCTTTTAATATTAATTTTGTATTTTTTCAGGTGTTCGGTGGATAAACATAGTAATTACACAGAATACAGTGAGCTGACGAAAATCAAGTAAAAACTTACATTTTAAGCTGCATATCATCAGGATTCACGTACACAATTAAGAAACGTGTTGCATACCTATAGTTTCATGCACCAAAGGTGAGCTACAACTTTCATTCGAATTATGAGCATAATACAGGGTTTCTAGCGTTGCTATAACTTTAGCATTCTCGCATAAGTAGCATCCCATCAATCAACCGAGATTTTACTAAGTATATGTTAGAAAATTTAGTTTTATAGCGTAGTAAGTATATGTGTAATAACCATAAACGCTAAAATTGTTTTTGATGTTTCTCATCCTAAACTGAGTTTTGACTTGAAGCTAGAGCTGCCTGTGTACAGCTTATGAATCTAGTTTTCTAGATAATATACGTTTGTTGACAGCCCTCTTCTTGTTTGAAGCAAATACTGTTCTAAAACAGTATGACTATTGCTGTATATCTCAAGTTTTTTTCAGTATATTCTGTAAGTGCCAAATTACATAAATGAGCTAAGCTGAGTGAGGCTGGCTGAAAAAACGTTTGTAGCTATGTAAAATTTAAGATCTCCTTTACATATCCTTATATAAAATTTTTGCATTATGTTTTCAAAGAATTCCAAAAATAAAATATTGTCTTTTTTTAGTAACACTCGTAATGTTAAGAGAGTGCTTAATTATTGTATGTATAATATTTTTGGAGGCATGCAATTTTCTCTTTGTCCTCGATAAGCTTTAGCCAGATGAGCAATTATTAAAAATAATCATTACATGTTAAAAAAAAACAATAGATTAAGAGCTAAATGAGGTCCAACACTAATTGGTTGTCTTTACAAGCAAACAAGTTTCCGCTTGTCATTACATTACTTGTATGCATCTCCTCTTACGTTTTTGCGACGCAGCAACTTTTTTGCTGATTATTCAAGTTCGATAACTGTCAACCAAAAATTATTATTTTGGTATATAACCAAATTCGGAAAATACGTTTACTGTATGTCTCACTCTCGTGTCAGTGTCGTTTTAAACGTTTACTCTACTCTGTGTAACA